ATCAAGACAACTGCTTCAGGACAATGGGGAACATGGTAAGACCATGTGAGAGAACTCCATGTGCATGAGTCCACTGCCCATTTCCTTTGCTATGAAGTGAGTTCCTTGATCAGAATCCAGGTGAGTGGAGTGTTGTGACAGCAGGTAAGACATTCTGTAAGTTCACCGATGGTAGTTTTGGCAGAAGCATTGCATGGTGGAAAGGTGAATGCATATCTAGTTTAGAAGCCTCTATTCCAGGAAGAACAAAATGCTACCCCTCCCACAATGGAAGCCATCCAATATAATCAAACTGCTGAAAAGTAGCTGGACAACGATGCCACTTGAGGTACGCGGGGGTAACCATAGCCAGGGCAACCTCAGTGTGTGGAAGTCCATGTTGCTGAGCCCATGCATAACCTCCCTTCCTACCACCATGTGCCACTTTGTTCATGAGCCCAAGGGGCAATTACAGGGGTGGCTGGGGATTATTAAAATCCTCTGCTAACGTCACCCATTAGTGTGCATTGATATGGGACACCAATATTTTCATATTTTCCATCCATTCAGAAAAATCTATCCACATACCTTTCTCAGACTTCTTGTTACGAATTCTTCAACCATTTTCTTCCCAAGTCCCTGACTACCCAAACCATTGTCCACAGCCCACGATTTGGTATACAATGGCTTGCCTTGCTACTATTTCTAAGTAGAATGAACCAGGTGCACCATTCAGGGTTATTTCCAAACTGGGAGCATTTTCTTTCACCTGCTGTCCTTTAGGGATAACCCAGATAAGGGGTACCGTGCTCCAGCACTCCACTTTCAGGTGTGCCTGCCTATCACACAGAACCATCAGTGAAGCTGGCCCGAGCCTTCTCTTCCACCATCAACTGCTCATAGGAAACTCCCCATGAACAGGTTGGAGAAAGCGGTGCAGCAGGAGTGGCGACCAAGGCATTTGGATCACTTCATGCCACTTACTTGTGCCTCCAGGGCCTGCTGGGATTTTAGTCGTTGTCCCAGCACCAAAGAGAAGGTATAGGAATGGATCCTGGTGGTGTCTTGCCAGGCAACTGCCTCGGTGGAGACCACAATTCCCTCAGCCAATGCTGGGTAAATCTCAGACAGGCTGGGTACAGTTCCAGTCCTGGCTATGTTACTTCCAATCCAGCTCCTTGATAATGTGCCCTGAAAAGCACTGGAAGATGGCCCCAGTTCTTGGGCCCCTGCCACCCAGGGGGAGACAGAGATGGAGTTCTGGGATCTTGGATTTGGCCTGGCCCTGCCTTTGCTGTTTTGGCCACCTGGGCTGGGGTGGGGGGCAAACCAGCAGATGAAAGATCTCTCTGTGTCTATCTCTGCCTTTCAAATAAATAAATAAATCTTTAAAAAAAAAAAAGAATTTGCCCTCTGCTTCCTTACAGTCTTCCCCATATCACCATCCCAAATTTCAAGATCCATCCAGGTCGGCATTTTGACATAACAGTAGGCGCTGTCTGCATGCAGCATCATATGGCGCTGGTGAGTCTGACTGCTCTGCTTCTGATCCAGCTCCCTGCTAATGTACTTGGGAAAACTGTAGAAGATGGCCCAAGTTCTTGGGCCCCTCTACCCACATGGGAGACCCAGATGAAGCTCCTGCCTCCTGGCTTTGGCCTGGCCCAACCTCAACTGTTGCAGCCATTTGGGGAATGAAACAGCTGATGGAAGCGCTCTCTCTCTCTCGTTCTCTCTCTCTCTCTCTAACTCTACCCTTCAAATAAATAAAATTCATCTTTTTAAAAAATATTTATTTTATTTATGTGAAAGGCAGAGTTACAGAGGCAGAGCGGAGGCAGAGAGAGAGAGAGAGGGAGAGCAGTCTTCCACCCACTGGTTCATTCCCCAAATAACCACAATGGCCAGAGCTGTGCCAATCCAAAGCCAGGAGCCAGGAGCTTCTTCTGGATCTCCCATGCGGGTGCAGAGGCCAAAGGACTTGGGCCATCTTCTACTGTTTTCCCAGACCATAGCAGAAAACTGGATGGGAAGTGGAGCAGCTGAGACTCGAACTGGTGCCCATATGGAATGCTAGCACTGCAAGCGGTGGCTTGACCTGCTACGCCATAGCGCCAGCCCCAATAAAATAGATCTTAAAAAAAAAAAAAGACTCCACCCCCTTTCAGGTCAATGCCTTGACTTTCACATTAGACAGCCTCTAAAGTGAGACTTAAATTATGTTGTAATTCAGCAACTTGCAGGATCAGATGCTGGGTTTTGTTTTCAACAACCTCAGCTCTGTAGCTGCAGGACATAAGGGTCTCTTTCTGGGCAGAAAGATCATTTGTACATCACTTGAAGGAATCTGAATCCCTGAACTCCTCCTTTGCTTTGCTTACTTTGTTCATTGGTTTTAGAACCAATCAGCAAACAGCATTATATTTGTTAGTTTGAAAAAAAGAAAATGTTCAGGGGCAGGCTTTTGGCGCAGCAGTGAAGACGCTGTTTGAGATGCCTGCATTCCTTACTGGAGTGCCTGGGTTCAAGTCCTACGTCAGCTCCTGATTCCAGTTTCTCACTGATACACATCCTGGGAGGCACAGATGATGGCTCAAGTGCTCGGTTTCTGTCACTCACATGGGAGACTAGGATCAAATTCCAGTCTCATGGCTTTCTCCTGGCCCAGCCTGGACTGATGTAAGCATTTGGAGGGTAAACCAGAGGATGAAAGATCTCTCTCTCTCTCTCTGCCTTTCAAATGAAAAACAATTTTAAAAAGAAAAAAAAAAACACTTCAAAAGTATCTTATGGGGCTGGCGCTGTGGCGCAGCGGGTTAAAGGCTTGACCTGAAGCACCGGCATCCCATATGGGTGCTGATTCCAGTCCCGGCTGCTCCTCTTCTGATCCAGCTCTCTGCTATGACCTGGGAAAGCAGCAGAAGATGGCCCAAGCTCCTGGATCCAGGCTTCAGATTGGCTCAGCTCCGGCCATTGTGCCCATTTGTGGAGTAAACCAGTGGATGGAAGACCTCTCTCTCCCTGCCTCTGCCTTTCTGTAAAAATAAATAATCTTAAAAAAAGAGATATGTGCATCCTATATCACAGTGCCTGAGTTTGAGTCCCAGCTCCACTTCCAATTCTAAGTTCATGCTGATGAACATCCTGGAAGTGAGCAGGTGATGGCTCAAGTGGTCAGGTCCCTGCCACCCACGTGGGTGACCTGGATTGAGTTCCTAGCTCCTAGCTTTGCTCAGATTTACTGGGGGAGTGAACCAGCAGATGGGAGATCTCTGTCTCTCAAATAAATTCGGGTTTTAAAAAGAGAGATGCCAATTACTCTGATCTGATCATTTACACACTGTATACATGTATTGAAATGTCACATTGTGTCCCATTAATACATGCAATCATTATGTGTTAATTTAAAAAAATATATATATATATAAAAGATTATGTTCCTCTAGAACCAGTCCCAATACCAAAAACTATATAAGAGTTTTTCGGAGAAACAACCAACAGGATGCAGATGTGTGTGTATGCATGTGTGTGTGTGTGTGTGTGTGTGTGTCTATATACATCTAGAAGGAAAAAAGGTTTGGCGATTCCCAAATCTGCAAGGTAGGCTAGCAGGCTGAATACACAAGAAAGATTTGCAGATTGAATCCAGAGTCTGCTGGAGAAGAGTAGCCTTTGTTCCAACTAATTGGAAGAAGTTCACCCCTTCGAGATGGTAATTAAAGCTGCTCCAAGTCCACTGGTTTCAATGTAAATCTCATCCAAAAAACACATGGAGTGTTTGACTGAGACTCAGCCAAGCTGATACATAAAATTAACTGTTGGGGCTGGTGAGGTGCAGTGGGTTAAGCCGCCTTGTGCAGTGCTGACAAACTGATATGTGTGTCAGTTTGAGTCCTGGCTGCTCCATATCCAATCCAGCTCCCTGTTAATGTGCCTGGGAAAGCAGTGGAAGATGGCCCAAGTGCTTGGGTCCCTGCACCCACAAGAAACCTGGAAGAAGCTCCTGGCTCCAGGCTTTGGATGGGCCCAGCTCTGGCTGTTGCTGCCATTTGGGAAAGGAAGCAGCAGATGCAAGCTTGCTCTCTCTCTCTCTCTCTCTCTCTCTCTCTCTAATTTTGACTTAAAAAAATTAACTATCACCAATGATCAACTCTGGGTAGTGAGATTAGTGAGATTAGTAAACCTCAAGGAGCAAATGATCAACAACAGCAAAAATTACCCCAAATCAGTGGTTTGTACCTCAGTCTCCGCTCTGTGTCCAGGATGGGCTGGATGCTCCCACTCTAATAGCATAGCCTCCACTCTATTCTGGGGTAGCATAGGCTCAGGCGTGCTCTCAAGTGGATTTATTATAAACTACAAAAGATGCTCCTATCGCTCAGGAAACCCCAGTTTGAGGAGCTCACTGTCAAGAACTAGGAACAAAGATGAAATATATATTCTTATTATTCCACAGACTCTCATCACACAATAAATCTCAAATGAATCAGGGATTACAATAAAACAGGAAAATCTTTCAAAAATGCAAAAGAAAAAATGGGAGAAATTTTTCTAAAAACCCTGAGTAAGGCCTGGGTGATTTTTCACATACATAGAAAAAATCAGACATACACAACACACATCACAAAAGCCAGAGGCCCACATATGACTATATGCAAAAAATCTAATGTTTAATTGGAAAAGACATAAATACAAAATGCAAATGATACTGGGACAAGTTAATTGTAACACAGATCTTAAAGGGCTAACATCCACAAAACATAAAGTGCTTCTACTGAAGCAACACCTTAACAGTAGGGATTCCATTTCAGAGCACCTGAGACTCCATCTTGAAAGAGCACCCCTCCCCCGACTGTGAGATTCTGGTCTGAAACTATGATCTAAAATTCAGACAATAACAGCACTCATACAATAGCAGTGCACTGCATCCCACTTGGTAGAACACAGAAACTCCTAGCGTGATTGCTCAAGCTTAAAACAGACTACACCTTGATTAATGTTAAACTTGTAATTTGTCTATTGTCAAGGTTGTAATTGATATTGGTTTCACAAAGGTCTTGGGTCAGCTTGACCCTAGCAACTATGTATTCCCCCTCCCCTCCTTGTGGTTTTTGCCTTTAGAAATCGTGTTGCTTTGAGCTTCAGGGTTGAGCGTTCTTTAGGCCATGAGCCCGCTCTCCACCGCCAGCAATGAAGGACCATCAAATTTTATGTGTGTGGTGCTCCTGTTTGCACTCAGGCACAACATTTTGGAGGGCCCAGTGAGATTCAGAGACCATCCCCGGGGAAGATCTCATTCCGATCCTTCCAGGTTGGTGCTATGTCCATAGGGGAGGTGCCCCCTGATGATGTGCCAGGGCCCCGCGTCCTGATTCACTGACCTGGGAAGCTGGGCTTGAACTGTTCACTGACCAATGGTCCTCTGGTAAGTCGACGCATTTTCTGGTGGCGCCTTCTGGATGTTTGGATGTCTGATGAGACACCAACACAAGTCCCCTTCCGATTGAGTGTGATGGCATTAGGAAGTGAGACTCTGGTCTGGTTAAAGAAAGGACTTTCCTGGATATAGTTTGCTTTCTGTCATTGTGCTATTTGTCATTACTGTTATCCTTGTCTCTGTCTCCTACTTGAAACATTAGGACTGGAGACTCTGGTTAAAGAAAGACTTAGTAGTCTTTCCTGGATAATTGGTTTCTGTTCCTGTTTCATGGTCACTTTCCATACGGTCTGAATCCATAATCCCAGAAGGTAAATTCTCTTCCCTGTCCTGCCTGTCCCTTTTATTCCCTTGTCTCCAGAGTCTCTCTTGTCCCTTCCGTTGAACATGGGCTCTGTTCAGTCTAAGGGGAAAGTTTTCAGTGTATGTTCAACAGTTTTGCTCTTTTGAATCTAAAAATCTCATTGCCTTAAAAGTTGCCTTGTAACTTGTTAAACTTGTTTTGTGACTTAGTTTTTTATGATCCAGATAAAAAATAGAAATGGGTAATCAGCTCTAAGGTAGATTTTACAATCTCTGGTGTATGTCATTGATTTCCAGTTAGAGTTTCATAAAAAAAGAATTCCATGTAAATGTAATTTTGGGCCGGCGCCGCGGCTCACTAGGCTAATCCTCCGCCTTGCGGCGCCGGCACACCAGGTTCTAGTCCCAGTCGCGGCGCCGGATTCTGTCCCGGTTGCCCTCTTCTAGGCCAGCTCTCTGCTGTGGCCAGGGAGTGCAGTGGAGGATGGCCCAGGTGCTTGGGCCCTGCACCCCATGGGAGACCAGGATAAGTACCTGGCTCCTGCCATCATATCAGCGCGGTGCGCCGGCCACAGCGCACCAGCCGCGGAGGCCATTGGAGGGTGAATCAACGGCAAAAGGAAGACCTTTCTCTCTGTCTCTCACTGTCCACTCTGCCTGTCAAAAAAAATAAATAAAGATAAAAATTTTTAAAAAATGTAATTTTGACCTTAATTCGGATAAAGGTATGATATAATATCTTTTTTCTTTAATTATCCATTTATTGTTTTTATCTTATTTAAAATATATATCTCCAATCTCATTTTTAAAAATGTATCTCAATATTCTTTATTTTTTTTAACTTTTATTTAGTAAATATAAATTTCCAAAGTACAGTTTATGGATTACAATGGCTTTTTCCCCCACATAACTTCCCTCCCACCCATACCCCTCCCCTCTTCTGCTCCCTCTCCCATTCCATTCACATCAAGATTCATTTTCAATTATCTTTATATACAGAAGATCAATTTAGTATATATTAAGTAAAGATTTCATCAGTTTGCACCAACACAGAACATAAAGTGTAAAATACTGTTTGAATACTAGTTATAGCATTAATTCACATTGAGCAACACATTAAGGACAGAGATCCTACATGAGGAGTAAGTGCACAGTGACTCCTGTTGTTGACTTAACAAATTGACATTCTTGTTTATGGCATGAGTAATCTCCCTAGGCTCTTGTCATGAGTTGCCAAGGCTAAGGTATGATATAATATCAACATCTTAAGTCACATATGTGTAACTACTAAATGTAAATTGAGTAAAGGTAAATGAGATAAATGTGTCTAACAAAAATGTTTTCATAAGCAGTACATATATGAAGAATAATTCAAGACCGCTTAAAAGTAACTAAGGTTGGAGCTGATGCTGTGGCATGGGAAGACCCAGAAGAAGCTCCTGGCTCCTGGCTTCGGATCAGCGCAGCTCCAGCTGCTGCGGCCAATAGAAGAGTGAACCAGCAGATGGCAGACCTCTCTCTTCTCTGCCTCTCCTTCTCTCCCTGTGTAACTCTGGCTTTCAAAATAAATAAAATAAATCTTAAAAAAAAAAAAAAAAAACACGTAACTAAGGTCAAAGTTCAATGTGTGGTGCTGGTGCTGTGGCATAGCAGGTAAAGCCACCTCCTGTAGTGCCAGCATCCCATATGGGCACCAGTCCTAGTCCCAGCTGCTCCACTTCTGATCCAGCTCTCTGCTATGGCCTGGGAAAGCAGTAGAAGATGGCCCAAGTCCTTGGGCCCCTGCACCCACGTGGGAGACCCAGAGGAAGCTCCTGGTTCCTGCCTTCAGATCAGCACAGCTCCGGCCATTGAGGCCAACTGGGGAGTGAACCAGTGGATGGAAGACCTCTCTCTCTGCCTCTCCTTCTCTCTCTGTGTAACTCTTTCAAATAAATAAATAAATATTTTTTAAAAATTCAATGTGTTATCTTATTTTAAAAATGTTGTCTTAATTTACAGATTTTTGAAGTATTATTTCAATATAAATCAATAAATCAGCAGATTAAAAAAGGGTCACAAGTATAAAAATGTGTTCTTGGTAAGGAAGGTTAAGAAGGAAAGAGATTTTAAAAAAGGGTTTAAGTTGCAGAAGCTGTGAGAAAGTCACAGGAGGTTAGGGAACATTTTCTGGATACAAAAGCTATTAATTAAACTCGGATCCTCTGGGGCCAGTGCTGTGGCAGGCGTAGTGTGCTAAGCCTCTGACTGCGGCGCCAGCATCCCATATGGGCACCAGTTCTAGTCCTGGCTACTCCTTTTGCAATCTAGCTCTCTGCTATGGCCTGGGAAAGTAGTGGAAGATGGCCAAGTCCTTGGGCTCCTGCACCCATGTGGGAGACCCTGAAGAGCCTTCTGGCTCCTGGCTTTGGATTAGCCTAGCTCTGGCCATTATGACCATTTAGGAAGTAAACCAGTGGATGGAAGATAGCCTCTTCCTTTCTCTCTGATAAAACAATGAGGTTTTTGTAATACATATATGTTGGTAAATACTTTAAAATATTCTTAATAATTAAAAAAGGCCCAGAGTACTAAAAAGGATAAATGTTTTTATAAAATCTGACAGGTACTTTCTAAAATACTGTGTGGAGTAAGCACAGTATTATTGGGTAATTAGTTTTATAATTTTAACCATGGCTATTTAAAGTCTTCTGTCATTCACAGTTTTGTATTTTCCTCTAAACATTAAAAATCAGATTTACTGCTCATGAAAATTAAAACATTATTGGTTCTGTGTTTAAATGTGTCTTCTTTTAGGTTCCAAGGAGCTTATTTTTCCTGACCTTTATTATATTCAGTACTTTGGGATGGCTCTACAAATAGATAAAGCCAAAGATTAACAGGTTCCAACTGAGAAAAAATATGGTTAATTCAGGTTACTAACAGCAGGAAATAATTCTAATTGATTGATAATTAAAAAAAAAAGCAGTTAAAGATTTTAAAAAACTATTACTAAAACTGCTTTTTATAGAAACATGTTATTTAATAAATATAAATTTCATAAGTACAACTTTTGGATTATAGCGGTTCTTCCCCCCATACCCGCCCTCCCACCCCCAAACCATCCCACCTCCTATTCCCTCTCTCATCCCATTCACATCAAGATTCATTTTTAATTATCTTTATATACAGAAGATCAACTCTATACTAAGGAAAGATTTCAACAGTTTGCACCCACACAGACACACAAAGTATAAAGTACTGTTTGAAGATTAGTTTTACCATTAATTCTCATAGTACAATACAGTAAGGATAGAGGTCCTACCTGGGGGGCAAGTGTACAGTGACTCCTATTGTTGATTTAACAACTGACACTCTTATTTATGACATCAGTGATCACCCGAGGCACTTGTCATGAGCTGCTAAGGCTATGGAAGCCTCTTGAGTCCACAAACTCTGACATTATTTAGTCAAGGCCGTAATCAAAGTGGAAGTTCTCTCCTCCCTTCAGAGAAAGGTACCTCCTTCTTTGATGGCCCCTTCTTTCCACCGAGATCTCACTCACAGAGATCTTTCATGTAGGTCATTTTTTGCCACAGTGTCTTGGCTTTCCATGCCTGAAATGCTCTCATAGACTTTTTAGCCAGATCCGAATGCCTTGAGGGCTGATTCTGAGGCCACAGTGCTGTAAAACTGCTTTATTAAAACATTTTATTGATTTATCCTGCAATGTATGTGTTATACGTGTGTACATATTGTATGTTTACATAGAAAAATGTATTAAGAGCTCTTTTTTAATTGGTTTATACATAAAATTTGACTGATAAATTTAAACTGCTAAGTTAACCCAAAATACATTTTTGATTCACATGACCTAAATAAATCTCTGTATCAGATGTTTTAAATTTTTGGTAATAAGAAACCAAAAATGTTTTTAAGTTATTGACATGTTTGTGCTTGGGTCTGCTGGTCAAACAAGTTACACTTGTGTTAGATATTCAAAAAGTATTTCCAACTACTCTCTTCTTTTTTTTTTTCTTTTTTTTTCTGACAGGCAGAGTGGACAGAAAGAGAGAGAGAGAGAGAGAGAGAGAGGGAGAAAGGTCTTCCTTTTGCCGTTGGTTCACCCTCCAATGGCTGCCGCGGCCAGCGCGCTGCGCTGATCCAAAGCTAGGACTAGAACTCAGTGTGCCGGCGCCGCAGGCGGAGGATTAGCCTATTGAGCCGTGGCGCCAGCCCAACTACATATACTCTCAAAATTTATAAAAGACATTGGACCTTTGGGTAAATGCTTTCATAAATTATTTGACAGTTAAAATTGCTTCCTAAGGCTTCACTTGATATTAAGTTACTGACAGTAAACAATCTGAGAAGGCTCTATTCTCTTCAGGATGAAAAACTTAATTCTAAGGGCTGGTGCTGTGGCATAGTGGGTAAAGCCACCACCTGTAGTGCCAGCATCCCATATGGGCACTGGTTCAAATCTTGGCTGCTCCACTTCTGATCCAGCTCTCTGCTATGGCCTGGGAAAACAGTAGAAGACGGCCCAAGTGCTTGGGCCCATGGACCCAATGGGAGACCTGGAAGAAGCTCCTGGCCCCAGGCTTTGGATCAGCCCAGCTCTGGTGATCGTGGCCATTTGGGGAGTGAACCAGCATATGGAAGACCTATCTGTCTGTCTCTGCCTCTGCCTCTCTGTAACTCTGCCTTTCAAATAAATAAACAAATAAATAAATAAATATTTTTTTAAAAATAAACTGACTATTCTGCAGGACTCTCCATCAGCATGTACAGTTTAATTTTTAGCCCTTTTAAAAGGGATGGCTAATATTTTTCTGTGCTAGTGCCTGGCCACATATAAAAGGCCAAATATCCTGGTCACATTAAAAAAGAAAAGCCTAAATAAAAGCTTATGATTTTATAGCTAGATTTATTTTGCCATGGGCACAGGTTAAACAAGCGAAACCTCACTTTTCAAATCAAACTAAGGGAGATACAAAGTCTTATTAATTATATCAAAATGTATAGACAGTTTGGATAAGGTGGTCTTCATGCTTGATCTTACTTAGAAAGACATAACTTTTCTCATGGGCATTGTCTTATCTCACAGGAAAAACATTGTCAGAACATGCTTGTGACAACACATTTCTAGCTAGACCATCAAAGATTAGCAATGGGATTGAGCACCCCCTTGGCTGACATCCTAAAGGCCTCCTCTGTGGTCTACTTTAATAAAGATGGGAAAAAGAAGAGCGAGTTAAGCAACAGGAGCAATGTAAGGATAGGTGACAGGCCAATAAATAACAGGCCAATAAATTTAAAAACTCCCTCCTGGTTTGGACAGCACCTTTCGTAAGTCCCCTAATAATGACTCTGTCCTTTGTTTTAGAGCCTTGTATTTAGTCTGCTTGTGAGATTTGTTTTTTCCAGACTTAAAACAATAAAATCCTAGCTGGCCGAACACATGAAACCTCAGATGAAAGCAGTTTCTGCAAGTTGACACTGTAGTCGCCACCTCCTGTTGGAACCCTGTTTTCACTGCCATTCCCCACTCCACACCCTAAGGGGCCCCTAGGTCAATGACCCTCTGTCCCTACAATAGTAGGGTGTGGGTTAAAAGGTGGGTGGGGGGCGGTGCTGTGGTGCAACGGGTTAACACCCTGGCCTGAAGCGCCAGCATCCCATTTGAGCGCTGGTTCAAGACCTGGCTGCTTCACTTCCGATCCAGCTCTCTGCTGTGGCCTGGGAAAGCAGCAGAAGATGGCCCAAGTCTTTGGGCCCCTGCACCCACGTGGGAGACCTTGTGGCCAACTGGAGAGTGAACCAGCGATGGAAGACTCTCTCTCTCTATGTAACTCTGACTTTCAAATAAATCTTAAAAAATAAAAATAAAAAAGGTGGGGGGATGAGGCCATCCGGTTGGGCTAAGTGTCTGTGGGCCCTCAGGCTTTAACAGAATGTCTTGTGTATGCAGGCTGTAAACTTTTACAGAAAGGTTTGCTCTGAGACCTGAACCCAACTTTCCTCACTGTGACATCCTGTTCAACCACATTTTCAAGCAAGTCACAAATCTTGCACCCAAAAGCTAGCAGCGGGGTTTATGTGGGGGTACCGGGTCCACCAAAGGAAAAATTAGCTCTTAGCACCTCCCATTCCACTGTCACCAAAAGGCCCCACCCTTTGTATTACTCTACATATCCTTCCTCAGGTCTATGCTTACAGTGGACCTGAGGGACATCACTTGATCCCTGTGGCCTTAACTATCACCAATGTCACACTTTCTTCTTATTAGTTCCCATCCTAGTTGGGTTCAGTGTGACAGACACTGCTGCCCTCAGCATAGCAGCCTTGGATCTGGGTGAGCTAGGTAGTTCCCATATGCCAACATCAGCCACCTCCAATCTTCTACTGATCTGTTACACAGCCAGGAAAAGTCTCTTGCAGGCTGATTGTAGGCCCCTGCATTCTTAACCAGTTACTAAATTTCATTAGACAGAGTACGTATAACTCTACTCTAAATAACCTCCCTGATCGATGTGATGATGCGGCTGAATAAAGGATTTGATTATTGCCAACATACAAGGGGGGAATGAAATAACGCCTTGACAGTAGAAACTCCATCTTACAGCACCCGGGACTCCATCTTGAGAAAGCACCCTCCACTGTGAGATTCTGGTCTGAAACTAATGTTCTAAAACTCAGACAATATAATAGTTCTCAGATAATAACAGTACACTGTGTCCCACTTGGGAGAACATAGAAACTCCTAGCGTGATCGCTCAAGCTTAAAGCAGATAGGCTACACCTGGATTAATGTTACGACTGTAATTTGTCTATTAAGGTTGTAATTGATATTGGTTTCACACAGGTCTTGGTCAGCTTGACCCTAGCAACTATGTATTCCCCTTCCCCTCCTTGTGGTCTTTGCTTTTAGAAATCCTGTTGCTTTGAGCTTCAGGGTTGAGAGTTCTTTAGGGCATGAGCCCGCTCTCCACTGCCAGCAATAAAGGACCATTAAATTTTATCAGTGTGTGGAGCTCCTCTGTTTGCACTCACTCAGGCACAACTACACATCTATAAGAATTCAAACAGAGGGGCCAGTGTTGTAGCCAGGCAGGTTAAGCCGCTGCTTGGAACACTGGCATCCCACGTGGGTGCCTGTTTGAGTTTCAGCTACTCCATTTGCTAATGTGCTTGAGAAAGCAGCAGAGGATGGTCCAGGTACTTGGGTCCCTTCCATTCATGTGGGAGACCCATATGGAGTTCCTTGCTCTAGGCTTCAGCCTGGTCCAGCTCTTGCCATTGTGGTCATTTGGGGAGTGAACCAGTGGGTAGAACACACACACTCTCTCTCTCTCCCCACCCCTCTCTGTAATTGTCTTTCAAACAAATGAATAAATCTTAAAAAAAAAAAGTTCATGAAAAATGCATACTGTGAGAAAAACTGCATGGATTTAAAAAAAAGTTCAAGATGAAAAAACAGACAAAACACAAAAGATAGGTATAAACAATTCATAGAAAATGCACTACAAATAGCTTTCACCTATACAATGTATGCTCAACTTCACCCTCAATAAAACTTCAAGAGACTGTTTCCTATCAAATTGGCAAGGAGAGAAAACACTTAACAAAACTAAGAGGAGAGGAAGACACACTTCTCACAGAATTGCCTTCTCTACATCCTTATTTCTTTTAAGTCATTTATTTCAATAGAAATATTTCAGAAAACTGTACTTAAGTTCATTTTAAGTTAGCTTATGCAAACACACTGAAGATCGCACACTCACAATTGCATATTAAAAAGAAACAGAAAGTGCGGGAGAAACCAAGCTGCATGTTGCTTAAGGAGGTCACAGTGCAATCCAGTGCTCCATCACAGAGCGCCCCAAGTTCACTGGGGTACAGATTTAAAATGGCTTGTGTGTTCCTGTGTATTATTCTCATTGGGTACTTATCCCAGAGATGGTGGATTTCCTTTATATCATGCTGTGAATCAGTTCCCCATTTCCTTCCCATACAAATACACTTCAGCAGGCCATAAAACAATGAGTTTGTCCATAGCAAGGCATTGACGTACTTGACAGGTGGGTGACTTATTATCAGCTATTTGATCTTATCTACTAAGAGTTACTGGACTATATTTGTGAGTAGTTCTAGATGTGATATTCTCAGGTCTCAGGGAAAATTTATTGTTACCTGGTATCTAAAGCACATCTAGTTATTTATAGTCCTCTTTTTCTATCAAGGAAAGAAATCAATCCCAAAGTATTCTATGTATTGTTTAACTCCTGCCATCACTTTGCAGTCCAAATGGCTGGAATCGAATTTAAAACCTGCTAAAGGCCCTCAAGGACCAGTTGGCCGTTTTCTTTCTTTTTTTCTTTTTTTTTTTGACAGACAGAGTGGACAGTGAGAGAGAGAGACAGAGAGAAAGGTCTTCCTTTGCCGTTGGTTCACCCTCCAATGGCCGCCGCGGCCAGCGCGCTGCAGCCGATGCACCGCGCTGATCCGATGGCAGGAGCCAGGTGCTTCTCCTGGTCTCCCATGGGGTGCAGGGCCCAAGCACTTGGGCCATCCTCCTCTGCACTCCCTGGCCACAGCAGAGAGCTGGCCTGGAAGAGGGGCAACCGGGACAGAATCCGGCGCCGCGACCGGGACTAGAACCTGGTGTGCCAGCACCGCAAGGCGGAGGATTAGCCTAGTGAGCCGCGGCGCCGGCCACAGTTGACGGTTTTCAATTGGCTCTACAGACTGAGTCCACTTGACCACTGTGAGGCACAGTAGCCCGTTTAAAAATGTGAAGCCAGCATCTTAACCTAGACAAACACCAGTAACTCCAGGTCTTCCAACAGTAATCTCAGAGAAGCAAAATATTCCCAAATGTTGCTTTCACAAGCTTAGCCTCTTAACTTCCCTTTAACTCATACACTGGAGTTGTTTTCACTTATTAGCATAACATTTTCAGGGAAACAATAATGGACAGGAAGACCACTTGTTCATTCTGTCTTACTTAAATGGAAAAATGAACTGCAAAAAACCTCACTTCTGGTCAAAGGGGCTCTTCCTTACAAGACTTCTGTAGCTTTAATAAAATCCTAACAAATCTTTCTGGCTGTATGAATTTCTTACTCGTTTAGGGATTTTCCAAAAGGTCTTATCATTAGATTGATGCTCAAAACAAACAACAACACACACAACAAAATAAAAACCAGCCTCACTGCATGAACGCTCTTCAGAGTTGTTAGGGGTATTTCTCTAAGGGTGGAGTTGAGCGTGGGTGTATTTTGAATCTCCAACCATGAAAAGGGAGACGAAGGGAGGGAGCTTGCTTAAAAAGACCAAAGTCAAGAAGGCCTGCACCAAATCCCTAGAGGCATTTGCACACATTTCTGACACATGCTGTGAGAAAACACGAAGCTGGGGGAGACAGATAGCATACACTCCTGAAATAAGAGGAGCAAGAGGGCAAATGATTCTTGTAATACTCGATGCCCTACACTTGGTCTTCAAATTGATAAGGCACTGACCAAATCTTCCCCACCTGACAACCTGAGACACAAACATAATGAAATTGCTCTCAAATAAGCTTCATGAGTTTGTTTCTGCAGCTTTCTTATTCACTGTAACTCTCCAAAGCCACAAGCCATTTTGAAGGAGGTGAAACCAAAAGGTACTTATTTTGTAAAGTTTATGTGGAAAGCAATTCGTCCTCAGTGTGCTCAAACTTTTTTGTATCTCAAAGCTTAAACAAAAAAGAATACCACTCTCGCTGTAAAATCATAAATTTACTATGTTTGAAAGAAAGAATGCAAAAGAGACACAAAATAGAAGCAAAGCCTAAAAGGTCACTAGAGAAGTCAGGCCTCCTTGCTTGTTCTCCATCATCTGATCACACAACAGCAGTACCACTGTTCTACTGGCACACAGCTTAGTCCACCTCCGTTTTCAAAAAGGGATCCAATTATTTTGGTAACCTCTGAGGCTGAGGATTTCTTTCATGAAATATTATCTTCGATTAAGTGACACCGTTATCCCCTTGTTTGCAAAAGATAATTTAAAAGCTGGGTATAAAGGAATGTGCCTCCAAAACAAAACAAAAATCTGAACCCAGAAGCAGAGCAACAGTGGATATGTTCTTTTAAAAGCAATGGATTAGGGGCCGGTGTGGTGGCGCAGCGGGTTAAGGCCCTGGCCTGAAGAGCTGGCATCCCATATGGACACCAGTTCTAGTCCCAAATGCTCCTCTTCTGATCCAGCTCTCTGCTATGGCCCGGGATAGCAGTAGAATGATGCCCCAAGTCCTGGCTTTGGACTGGCACAGCTCCGGCCGTCGCAGCCATCTGGGGAGTGAAGCAGCAGATGGAAGATCTCTCTCTCTGGCTCTACCTCTCTCTGTAACTCTTTCAAATAAATAAAATAAATCTTTTTAAAAAATGGATTAAATTTGCTAATATTGATTTCCAACTAATATGATGCCGTACAGTTTTTTTTTTTTCCAGTAGTAAATGCATATATGTTACATATTTAACCTTAAAAAGAAAAAAAAAAAAGACTATACTCAAGTCCTTTGGTCAGTGAAATTCTAATCATCCTAATAGATCAACAGGCTGTTGGGGCTGGGACTGAAGCGCACTAGGTTAATCCTCCACCTGCAGCGCTGGCATCCCATATGGGCGCCAGTTCTAGTCCCCGTTGCTCCTCTTCCAGTCCAGTTCTCTGTTATGGCCTAGGAAAGCAGTGGGGGATGGCCCAGGTGCTTGGGCCTCTGCACCTGCATGGGAGACCAGGAAGAAGTACCTGGCTCCTGGCTTCAGATGGGTGCAGCATGGGCTGTAGCAGCCATTTGGGGAGTGAACCAATGGAAGGGAGACCTCTCTCTCTCTCTCCTCTCCCTGTGTAACTCTGACTTTCAAATAAAAATAAATAAATCTTTTAAAAAAAAGAAAGAAAAATATGGTGTGTTTATAGTAAGCCATATAAAGAGGAAAATTCTAATACTTAAAATTCTCAGGATCTGAACATTCATTTTTATTCCTCTTAAAATTATTTTCTATGTCTTATGATAAAATATATACATTACATATGTATGTGGAATCTTTTAAATAAATATGATCTTGAATCTCATACTGAACCAAAACAAAGATGAGTAATAAAAAAATAACTCTGGCATTATGCACATGAAACACCATAAAAGAAAATGTCAATATATAGCCTGAACACCAAGAGCAACTTGTGAAAGGGAGGACTAATGCAGTTAATTTGAAATAAGGAGAGTCTCAGGTTGGGATTACAGTCCTTCCCCGACAGCTCCACACTCCAGCGATGGCCTCACTATAGCCCCAGTTAGAAACTGCCCACTTTTAAAACCCCCTGGCAAATGAACAGCTCAGCTTTTGCACCTCCGGCAAGAAGCAATGTTCCCTATACAGTACTGAATTCTGGAAGTTCGTGTTCAACAAAATAAACTCCCCCCCCCGCCCCCACCCAAACAAACCCCAATGACTCACATTATGAACATGTCTAACTCCTACGTTCTCTTGTGAGAGAACAAGTAAGGCTGCCGATTGCTGGAGGCGGGCTGCTGGTGTCACCCCTACTGAATTCTTTTCACCACAGTTCAGAACCAGCTCCTGATGTGATCCATAAGAAATAGGTTTCTGTTTTAAGTGTATCTAAAAAAAGGTGATTCGCCCCCTCCAAAATTAGTACAAAGTTAAAAGAAATGCAAATTCACTATGATCTACTCCAAGCACAGCACTGCCAGAAGATTCACATACACTATTTGCACTATTTGGTGTTTCATGTTGGTTTTCCTTAAGATTTATTTTATTTATTTGAAAGACAGAGTTACAGAGAGAGGTAAAGACAGAGAGAAAGGTCTTTCATCCACTGGTTCACTCCTCAGTTGGCTACAATAGCCGGAGCTGTGCCAATCCGAAGCCAGGAGCCAGGAGCTTCTTCCTGGTCTCCCATGCAGGTGCAGTGGCCCAAGGACCATCTTCTACTGCTATCCCAGACCACAGCAGAGAGCTGGATCAGAACAGGAGCAGCCAGGACTTGAACTGGCACACATACAGGATGCTGGCCCTTCAGGCCAGGGCCTTAACCTGCTATACCACAGCGCCAGCCCCTCCTTTCATTCTTTTAAGGCAGTGGTTTCCATAGGTCAGTTCAGAGATAAGAAGCATGGTTCATGGCAGTTTATTCTGTAACTCCAGTTTGTTCTCTGGGAATATCTCACTTCATTCCCTGAATTTAGTGCTTTTTTGGTTCAGAACTTCACAGGCTGGGTTGAGCCCGGAGCTCTCCCTGCCACAGGATGGTACACAGCTGGCGCTCACTCATCAGGTCCCGGCTCTCACAGAGGAGCCCAAGGCACCTCTCTTCTTTCTCAGGCTTCTACTCAAAAGTCATCAAGTTTGTAGGAACCTGTTGTTACTTTGGCAGGCTGCACTCAGATGCCTAAACCACAGCATCACATTCATCCTATTGCCAGCTTGAAACTTGTATGAATTTGCTTTCTTGGAGTCCGTGAGCAAGAAGAGGTCCAGGTGCTGCGGGTCGTCAGCCTTCATCACCATCCAGCCGACCACAGACACATTCTTATTTGACGTTGACTTGAAATGTTTTCTTTCTGTAGCCTTTAGAGATTTGGCAGCATAGTAAAAGAGTTGTGTCCCACACAAAGCTGCCCAGTATTTTGTCCAAGCTGCTACAGTAGGTTTTTTGCTTTCTCTTAACAAAGTTTTTCTCCTGAGAACACCTTGAATAGTAACTGCGCCTGGATATACATGCACTGCCAAATCTTCTGATTCTGCAGAACTTTCAAAAGCAAGCCATGAGGTCTCTTCACTTAGTTCAGAACCATCATTGCTACCTTTTGATATTCCACTAGAAAGAGTAGAACTTTCAACTTGGCCTTGAGATGGTGCATGGGATTTCATGATGCTATCATCTAACAGATGTCTTGGCCCTGCATTTGGGAATGTTGCACTCTTAAACTCTGCTGTGTTCATTTTATGAATGAAATTATAATCCAAGCTATGGCACTTCCTATGTCCACATGGAATCAGATTCCATGGGGATGGGGGTGTCTGTGGTGGCAAGGCTCCTTCAGTGGCCACACTCTTCCTCCCACTCTGTGGTGATGCCCCCACTTCAGGACCTACTAAATCTTCCCTGGAGGCAGCAGAACGTGGTGTGCTTGTCCCTGGTTCTATCTTTAATGAAAGCTTGTAATTATTATCTTCCACAAACTTTTGCAGTTTTATATACTGAACAGAGTTCAGATGTTTTTTAACATGAGGCAACAAGGGAATATCATATTCACAGGACTGCTGTAAATCAGAAATTATCCTAAGAATGTTATTCATTAAATTTGATCTTTGCTCGATTTCTAGAATGCTGCCAGTTGATGGGTACGCTGAATCAATGTATGTTAAATCTGACAGATAGATGCCTAAATAGGGTGTCATCTTTAAGCTACTTACATAGTCTCAGAGTCTTTTGCAGTTATCCTCTTTACTCACCACATACTCTAATTTTTCAAAGGTAGTTTTGTCTTTTTTACTTAGTAATGCCCATGTCTTAGTCAACCTGAAAATTGGGGCGCTCTGTAAGCCAGAAACCATTGCCATAAGTGCATGAAGGTTATTCAGCTCATACAGTTTCTTAGCAGTTTTCATATAGTGACTCAAAACTTCTGCTCTAATTTTTAATGTCTGAGCATGAAGAATCTCTCTAACAACCCAAAAGTTCACATGATTAAATCTTCTTGTGAAAGCAACAGCATTTGGCACAGAACTGTATTTTTCTTTTTTATTCCATCCACAACTTGAAAGCTCATCTGGTTGAATAGCTTTAAATACTGGAACATCCATTAGTGTTATCTGACCCACATACTCTTCTGGTGTAACCTTAAGAACATCAAGTACCATAGCATCAAAGCTTTTCTTCAATTCGGAACCTTTGTCACTTAATGATTCAGAGCTTCTACTGTTCTCGGAAGCCGTGGCTGCAAGGCTGACGCTGCTTGCCTGCCCATTCATGAGGGCCATGCTTCCCTCGTCAGTCCCTGGCCCTGTGGCAACAGCAACACACAGTGGACTGCTTCATGTCCAGGGCCACAGATGCATCACAGCTGGGCCACTGGGCTGTCGCCTCAGAGGATGGGAAGATGACGCCGGCTTCATACACTGCTGCCACTGCAGCCACCCAGGGCAGTGCTCACTGAGCCGAGGACTCGGCGTCTCTCCTACATCCTTATTTTTTTTTTACCACACGTGTGATTTAATCTATTAAAATTTTGACAATAAAAAAAATTTTTAAATCACCTAAAATTCCACCACCACCAAGGGGCCTGTACTGTGTCATAGTCTAGGCTAAGCTTCCACCTGTGCCAAGAGGGAGAGACAGAAAAGTCTTCCTTCCACTGGTTCATTCTCCAAATGACTGCAACAACCTGATCCGAAGTCAGGAGTTTCTTCCAGGTCTCCCATGAGAGTCCAGGGGCCTAAGCACTTGGGCCATATTCTACTGTTTTCCCAGGCCACAGCAGAGAGCTGGACTGGAAGAGGAGCAGCCGGGACTAGAACCGGCACCCATTTAGGATGCTGGCACTGCAGGTGGAGGATTAACCTATTGTGCCACAGCGCCAGCCCCTTATTCTTAATTTTCTATCTAGTCAATAGCAATATTTTGATGTATTTCCTCTTTTTACTTAGTTGCATGATGAGTGGCTACAAAAATGAGAATACAACAAAGATGCTATTTAAATTGTTCTCTCTCCTTATCAAGAACTTATTTGTGTACTAAAACTGCTTTCACTCCCTTCCACGTGAACTTCTCAACACCCTTCTTTCTGACTTCCCTATCCTTGGACTTCTCTGGTTCATTCTCCATCTTCCCTTCTGAGTTACCTCCATCTCTAATACTTCGTGTTCTCATTGCTAATCGGCTTAAGTGCTGACTTTTTAACCTAGAAACCAGGCTGAAACAATCAGGAGAACCTACATTTCTGGATTTTTCTCTTGCAACCTTCCTCCTCTATCTTATATGGCTCCACCTCTCTGAATACTCCAGGCCCTCTGCTACCGTCTGTCTAGAAGCACTCTTATTACCCCACATCCTTGGCAACTGTATGTATCTTTCAAAATCCCATTCAAAACTCACCTCCTCCTCTAAGCTCTTCTTTGTGCTCAGATAACAGTTAACAGCTTTGTGCTCACAGCATTCCACTCATGCATTAAATATTACATATTATCCTTTATGGTCAGTCACCTGCTTATCTCTTGAACTACACCGTGTGCCTTGAGATTAAGAATCTTACTTATTTCAACACCCACTGGATAGTGGCAGCAATGGTGATGAGGGGATTGAAGGGAAGGGACAGGGACTGGAGTGAAGCTAGGAGGGAAGAGGTTCTCAAACAGGGTTTCACACCGAGGAAAGGCAGGTGGGGTGATCCAAGAACTGAGCAATTCTTAATGATCAGAGCATAAAGACAGAGAAGGGTTGTAAGCATGGAGAGGCAGGCACTGGAAGGATGCAATTGGCCTTGGAAGCACATAAAGGACATCTAGATTTTAGCCTAAGATGTTGAAGATAACTGAGGGACTATAAGCAGAGCTGTAGCATGCAGATTTGTATTTTCAGGTTGCTGTAACAGCAACATGGGGAAAAAGCAGTGTTGGTTTAGAACACTATGGCTGTTATTCAAGACATGGTTATGGCCTAGATGTGCATGGTGGGAATGGGAATTAAGAAAAGCAGATAAAGCAGATATTAGCTATATTTAAGACAAGGATAGGACCTAGGCTTTTGGCTCTCATCAATCCAATAAAGTCAGGGTTATCCTGTGTTGGTTATTTGACCTCTCTCTGGGTTTCTTTAATCACTTGTGAAACTTGTTTAATACTATCTGAACTATCAACCTCAAAGGATTTTTATTACTATCAAATGATATCACATGAAGCAGCTATGAAAATTATATAGTGGACTGCATTTTATATAGACGCAGTAAAAGTAATTAACTGACTACTTGCCATATTTGACACAATACAAAGCATGTTATACAGACAATTTCATTTAATTTTCTTCAAAATGTCACTCTTATTTTATAATTTAAAAATGAAGTAAAAAATAATTTGTCTAAGGTCACATACCAATAAACAATGCAGAACTAGAATTTAAACTGACTGTAGAATTTTAACACAATGTCCTACCTCATTAGGATTCATCTTAAAATTTTCTTCATTGAAATCCTTCTTGAATAAAATGGCTAAAAATCTGCTGCCTCCTCAACTTCTTTCATCAAGGACCAAAATGGGATTCTCCTGCAATGTAGCTTGATTTTTTTGGTATAGATTTTCCTTCCAAAAGGCATTCTAATATTATCCCTCACTATACAAATATTAGCATATAAGAAATATTGTCATTGCTCTATTCTGCATAATATAATGAAAATCAATCTAAACAACAACTTTTATTTGTTTGAAAGCATGGTAACTGAAACTAGTAGAATGTTACAATGCAAACAGAGTGCCTCTATAACAACCAGAATCATGGGGATCTTTTTGTATGCTAAAGATTTGTTTAATGTTTGGTATGTTACTGGAGATGTCTTACTAAGAACTCTAGCATTTGTTCATCTTGGATTTTTTGGTATTAATTCTATTAAAAAAAAAAAAGACATCTAAAAGAGTTGGAGAGAAAGAGAGAAACACAGAGAGATCTTCTATTTGCTGATTTACCCCCAAGATGGCCACAATGGCCAGCATTGGGCCAGGATGAGACCAGTAGCCAGGAGCTTCTTCCAGGTCTCTATGTGGGTGGCAGGGTCCCAGGTGGCAGGGCTGGTTTCCCAGGCCATTAGCAGGGAGCTGGATCAGAAGCGGAGCAGCTGGAACACGATCCAGGTGCCTGATCACAGGCAGTGCTCTACCAGCTACACCACAACAAGGGCCTCCTAATCCTGCATTAAAAAAAAAACATTGTATTAAAATACTGCTTAGATTTTTGGTGCTCCTTAAAGTTTTGCACCTCAGGATAGCAGTCTTTCCAGCTCCCCCTTTCTCTACCTGTAAAAGCAGAGCGTAAAATATTGTAAGCAATTCAGTTTACCCTTAAGTCTCTCACACACCTTTAACAATAATTATAATCAAACTTAAAGCACACCAAGTGATGTATGGAGAATTCATCATGAGTCTATTACTGTGCAGGCCCGTATCCAAATCTGTATAGACATTTTTTGTGATTCTCAAATACACAAATCCATTTTAAGGCATTATTGCATACCAAGATACTAACGGTGGCCGGCGCCGCGGCTCACTAGGCTAATCCTCCGCCTAGTGGCGCCGGCACACTGAGTTCTAGTCCCGGTCGGGGCGCCAGATTCTGTCCCGGTTGCCCCTCTTCCAGGCCAGCTCTCTGCTGTGGCCAGGGAGTGCAGTGGAGGATGGCCCAGGTGCTTGGGCCCTGCACCCCATGGGAGACCAGGAAAAGCACCTGGCTCCTGGCTCCTGCCATCGGATTAGCGCGGTGCGCTGGCCGCAGCGCGCTGGCCGCGGCGGCCATTGGAGGGTGAACCAACGGCAAAAGGAAGACCTTTCTCTCTGTCTCTCTCTCTCACTGTCCACTCTGCCTGTAAAAAAAAAAAAAAAAAAAAGATACTAACGGCAGCATGAATGGCAGAAGATGGGGGACAATGGAACTACCTGAGTAATACATCCAACAGTGAGTATTACGAAATTACCATTTGTATGGGGAGATGATTATATTCATACAGAAGTTTATAAACTCAGACAGCATCTGAGAATTCAGAAAGTATGTAAAAGAGAACTGCAGGAGCAAAGACTCATATTTCATCACACTCTCCAAAAGCCGGTCACCACTGTTCAGTTAGGTTGGAATTTAAAAAAAAATTTTTTTAAATCTAAGGTCAACAAATGTCATGCACAGATTTAGGAACATATTCTTCCCACCCTACCTTTCCTCTTCCTTTCTCTCTTAATTTTCACAATGATCTTCCAGTTTACTTTATACTCATAAAATTAACCCATACTACATAAACAGTTCAACAAATAGAAGGGAAAAAACAAACAAAAAAATCACACACACACCGCTGTGTCTCAACAGTCCAGCTAAGGGCTGTCAACAATCATCAAACCTCAAAATATCAATTTCACTTCCATACATTGTTTTGGCACTCTATTGGTTACCACAGATCAGGGAAAACGTGGTATTTGTTTTGGGGACTGGCTTATTTCACTAAGCATAATGGTTTCCAGTTGCATCCATTTTGTTGCAAAAGACAAGATTTTGGTTTTCTGGTTTTTTTGGCTAAGTAGTAAGTTCGAACTTTTAGACTCCTGCTGGTGGCCCGAGGCCTGATTCTGGCTTCCCCTTCACTCCCATCACACTACTCCTGCAGCTTTCCAAAAACACCTAGCGCTCACTTTCTGCCTTGTTTCCCACAGCTTCACCTTCGCTGGCCTTAAAACATTACAGAATTCCGGGGCAGGAGGTGGGGGAGGGGTCCTTGTCAGATTCACCTTCCTCCCCACAGCCCCAAGGACACCGTCAGAGCCGACAGTCCAGAAAAGGATGAACGGGGCCGGCGCCGCGGCTCACTAGGCTAATCCTCCGCCTAGCGGTGCTGGCACACCGGGTTCTAGTCCCGGTTGGGGCGCCGGATTCTGTCCCGGTTGCCTCTCTTCCAGGCCAGCTCTCTGCTGTGGCCAGGGAGTGCAGTGGAGGATGGCCCAAGTGCTTGGGCCCTGCACCCCATGGGAGACCAGGAAAAGCACCTGGCTCCTGCCATCGGATTAGCGCGGTGCGCCTGCCGCGCCGGCTGCGGTGGCCATTGGAGGGTGAACCAACAGCAAAAAGAAAGACCTTTCTCTCTCTCTCACTGTCCACTCTGCCTGTCAAAAAATAAAAAAAAAAGAAAAAAAGAAAAAAAAGAAAAGGATGAACGGACCAGGGGAAGGAAGCCGGCAGCTAACCAGGCGTGCAGGGCAGGCGGGAAGTCCACTCTACGCCCTGCGGCCAGAGACCTCCGGTAAAAGCCGCACCTCCTCCGGTCACGCACAGGAGCCACACGCCGGCCACCAGACAACTACGTTCCCCACCCTCGGGAGCTCAAAAATGGCCCACGCCAGGCGGAGCACAGATTGCTGGGAAATAGGCCCCTCCCCTGCGTCACAGGGCGGCGCACGGGCGCGAGGGGCGGGACAGCAAGCAGAACGTGCGGCTGCGGCCCAATGAGCGGGCGCCTTCCGACACGCGGCCCAATGGCGGCGGCGCGCGGGCACGCTGGGGGCGGGCCAGGCGCTCCCGACTCTTCCAGAAGGCCCGGATAGCGCTTCCCGGCCACGCTGAGGCGGCTCTGGTCGCTGTAGTCGCCAGCTTGCTTTCTTTTTTTGTCCGCTGCTGGGTCAGCCATGGCGGCCGTGAAGACCCTGAATCCCAAGGCCGAGGTGGCCAGAGCCCAGGCGGCGTTGGCGGTCAATATCAGCGCGGCACGGGGACTGCAGGACGTGCTGAGGACCAACTTGGGGCCTAAGGGCACCATGAAGATGTAAGGCGGGGCTGGCGGGGGCCGGGTGGGCCCTGTGTGGCTCGCGCCGCCGCGGGGCTGGCGAACCGGGGGGCGCCGACTGGAGTCCTCCGCCTCCAGGCCTGTTCTCGCCCCTGCGGCCCCTCTCCGCGGCGTTTTCATGGCGAAGTTCCCTTACCTTGGCCGTTTGCTTTGGTGTCGATGCGATCGCTCTGGGGAACAAAGCTGCCCGCGTGCGCGGCGTCCGGGTTTTGCAGCCGCACGGAGGCGTCTCTAGAGGGGTGGGCTGGGCACTGCATCCCTCTTCTCCGAGCTCTGATCCACTCCCTTAGGTTCTGGGAAAAGCCCTTTTTTCTTAAATGGGAGTCTTAGCCGAGTTTCCATCGAAAGCGTCGCACGCTGACTGACTGATTTCTGCCCACTGGACAGGCTTGTTTCCGGCGCTGGCGATATCAAGCTCACCAAAGACGGCAACGTGCTGCTGCATGAAATGGTGAGGCTGCTGTGCTGCAGGAGATCTTGCTTAGCCGTGGCTTCACTTGTATGAAGAGCTCTGATGTGTGTCCTTAGGGTGGGAGAAAATTATTTCCTTGGAGTAACAGGTGGGGAGCAGAACAAGGATGGGATCCCTCGTAGTAGTATTGGCAGGAGTAGAGTAGCAGCCCCGGAGTCTGACAAACCTCCATTTAAATTCCTGTTACGCTGCCGCAGACCGTCTGGGTTAAAGGATTGCAGTTGGTGTGAAGTTAATTGTAATATCTGAAAAATTAACGGCGATCGGCACAGTCAGATGGGTAGAATGCCATACGGTGGTTATGATTTTTTTTTTAAACAGCAATTCCTCTATTGCATCTACTCACCTTCAACTGCAAGGGAGATAAAGCTGCCTCTTTGATAGTTTTTTTTTTTTAACCCCAAGAATCAAGAAAGAGATGATTAAGGAAAAGCATCTGTTTCACTGATGGCTAAATTTCCAAAACCTAGCAGGTCAAGAAAAAGAAATGAGTTCTCTCTGAATTAATTCAGAATAAAATTCAAAGTTTTAATAGCATATGTATAACTAGCTTCTGCAAGGATTAGTGTAAAAGATGTAAGAGTTGTTCATTTTGGGTGACTTAAATGGCCAGTGCTAGCAGCAGAGATCAATTGGACTGTCCTTTAAACCTGATGTCAGAAAAGCTGTATCTGATTTTTAATTTGCAGTTTACAAATGATTACAGAGTGGATAAATGAGGGCACCACCTGTCAAGTCCTTCCTTGTAAGCCCTCCTCCCTCTCTACAAGTCATTTTCCAGCTCTTTTTCTTTTCTTTTCTTTCTTTTTCTTTTTTTCTTTTTTTTTTTTTTTTGGAAAATTACAGATCTATGGAAAAGATAATTCCAACAGTCTGGTTCCCTTTATCTAGATTAGTCAGTTATTTATATTGTGCTCCATTTCTTTCCTGTTTTTCCTCCAAATCATTTGAAGGCAAATTAGAGACATGCCATTTCACCAAAATACTTGTCTTTCACATAATCAAAATAACATCATACCTACTAACATTGATACAGTGTTCTATACAAACCATGTTTTTCACAGTTGTCCCTAGATGTCCTTTATAGCTGTTTGCTGTTTTTCCAGGTCCAGTGTAAATATCTGTTCATCATCTGACGTATGCTTATTGATAAGACACTGAGAAGTATACAGGTTCACCCATGTAGTATTCTTGCCAGAGATATTTAATGTCAGCATACTTTGATAATGTGAAGTGTGTAAGATGACTGGCCGAGAGTCTTAAAAATTGTCAGTGTTCGAAAAGACCAGGGAACTGTTCTGAAGTAAACAGAGACAAAAAGCGCAAGAGTTTTGATTGGATCCTTTGTCATAAGAATTTATGGAGTAACTGCGGAGGGTCTTTGAGAAAACTTTTTTTAAGATTATTTATTTGAAAGAGTTACAAGAGAGAGGAGAGGCAGGCTAATTGTGACTTTTTAATCAAAGTAATATTTAGTCAGATACTTGGGCAATTTGTTCAAATACATGGTGTGTGTTTTTTTTTTTTTTTTTTAATTTATTTTTGACAGGCAGAGTGAACAGTGAGAGAGAGAGAGACAGAGAGAAAGGTCTTCGTTTACTGTTGGTTCACCCTCCAATGGCCGCTGTGGCTGTTGCACTGTGCTGATCTGAAGAGCCAGGTGCTTCCTCCTGGTCTCATGCGGGTGCAGGGCCCAAGGACTTGGGCCATCCTCCACTGCACTCCCAGGCCATAGCAGAGAGCTGGACTGGAAGAGGAGCGACCGGGACTAGAACCCGGTGTGCTGGCGCTGCAGGTGGAGGATTAGCCTAGTGAGCCTCAGCGCCAGCCAGATACATGGTGCTTTAAAGAAGCTCTTCACAAATTCTGTGTAAGATACATTTGATCTGCTTTAAGTCACTCAACTAATTTTTTCTTTTTCTATGTTCAGCAAATTCAACACCCAACTGCCTCCTTAATAGCAAAAGTAGCAACAGCCCAGGATGACATAACTGGCGATGGTACTACTTCAAATGTCCTTATCATTGGAGAGTTACTGAAGCAGGCGGATCTCTACATTTCTGAGGTATGCAGGATTTCTCTTGTTTCTATGATACTTTTTATGTATAGGAGATACTTGATATTTTTACAAATTGATGTTTTGCAGCTAAAGCCATAGCGTAGAATGTAAATATTTTTAAAAATCAAGTTACATTTTTCATATATGGTTTATATGTGTCTATAATAGCAATTGAGAGATAACGATGTTCAGGACTAGATATATTTGTTAAAAAAAATTCAAAAGCTAACGTTTAGATAAGGATTCCACAACTTTTTATAAACCTCAGCATTAATCCACTGTTAGAATTTCTTAGAATTTCTTTGGGGCTGGCATCGTGGTTAAGCCTCTGCCTACAATGCCAGCATCCCAAATGGGTGCTGGTTACTGCCCTGGCTGCTCCACTTCTTTTTTTTTTGGGTTATTTTCCTTTTGACAGGCAGAGTGGACAGTGAGAGAGAGACAGAGAGAAAGGTCTTCCTTTGCCGTTGGTTCACCCTCCAATGGCCGTGCTCCACTTCTAATTTAGCTCCCTGCTAGTGTGCCTCAGGAAGCAGTGGAAGATGGCTCAACTGCTTGGGTCCCTCCCCTAATGTGGAAGACGCAGAAGGAGCTCTCGGTTCCTGGCTTTGGCCTAATCCAGCGGAGCCGTTGCAGCCATTTGGAGAGTGAACAGGAGGTGGAAGACCTCTCTTCTGTGTCCCTCCTCTGCAAGAAAGCATACTTTTAACTCTCCATTTATTTTATTAATAAATGATGTGAATTGATTTCAGGTTAACTGTGGAAGAGATAAAATGTTCCTAATATTAGGCTGCAGATTGTATCAGTACTGGTGGCTTGCACAGTGAACACCCAAGTGTGCTTGATAGTTCCCTTGGCTTTAACTCTGTGCTACAGCAATGTCTGTTCTTTTCCTCTGCATTGAAAGGAGTTTTTATCCTTTCAAATGTATTCAGAAAGTCAGCACATTATTTTATCTTCATTGCATTAAAAGATGAATAGTTCAGAATATCTCTTTAAAAATTATCTACCCTTTATCTGAGTTACAGTTGCATCTAATTGAAGATGTGTTAGTGGTGGGTTTATTGTTGTGTATTTATTGTAGGGTCTTCATCCCAGAATAATTACTGAAGGGTTTGAAGCTGCAAAGGAAAAAGCCCTTCAGGTTTTGGAACAAATCAAAGTTAGCAGAGAGATGGACAGGGAAACACTTATAGATGTGGCCAGGACCTCTCTGCGTACTAAAGTTCATGCTGAACTTGCAGATGTCTTAACAGAGGTATGTATAGATTTGTGTCTGGTACGACTACACGTGGGGGAAACCCCCAATAGTGGAAACCTAGTATACCTAGCAATTCCAATTTTAAGATGCTGTCTGAAGTCTTCACAGTGTCATTTTCTGAAAGAAGTAGGTCCATTTTGTACCCGTGATACCTAATCTAGAAAAGTAATGCGGTGAGAAGGTTCCAGTAACTGCTTGATTGGCGCTTTTAATCCAAGTGATCAAGTCGTAGTAATGAGCATTTCCTTATTAAATATTTACCATTTCTTTGTGTTAGGAGCAAATTCCTTTTCTTCAAGTTCCTTATTAAATACAGGCTGTTGTAAATAATAATAGTACATAATAGAACAAGAGGAATGCCAAATATTATTTAATTTAGATAATTTCAAATTAAGATGTCAGAAAAGTAAATTATTTAGCACTTTACATACAAGTATATAATATACCCTGTATATTATATAAAATCTGTGTTAAGAGACCTCAGTTCACAGATTTTACAGTGAAAAACTATAAACTTCTCTGAATAACAAGCAAGTATTTTAGCTCTGCAAGTTAAATTTTTTAATGGTTATATTCATATTGCAGGCTGTAGTGGACTCCATTTTGGCCATTAAAAAACAAGATGAACCTATTGACCTCTTCATGGTTGAGATCATGGAGATGAAACATAAATCTGAAACTGATACAAGGTATGTGGTAGACTGCTGTGAAATAGGTGGTAATAGGGTGTTTGGAGATATACATACTTTTAGAAGTTTTATGTTTAGAAGTTTCATGTTTGGATCAATACATGTTTATTCAAAGGTGTAAGTTTGGTACATTTCTAAGGTAAGTACTATAGTTACTTTCAGTAG